GCCTGCATTGCTTTATTATGGCCATTTTCTCTTTTTTCACGTAAAAAAACCATCTTTATCTTTAAATTCAATCAACCCCACCACTTCCACTAATCTGGTAGTGTCACGCAGATCACGACTTTATTTATTTTTTTTTTTGAGGTAACGACTTTAATTATTAGTCATGTTAATGATGTACGATAAATTTTTCTTTCTTTTTTTTTTTTAATTAGAAATGTGATTCACAAACTATGAAATACAAAAGATTTATTCATCAGCATAGAAAGACTTGCCAAAGTTGAAGCACTCGTCGATTCAACAGCAGAAAGTAAAGTTCAAAAAAGTAGCTGACTTGGGTTAGAGCATAAACATGAAGCTAGCCAAAGCCACCTTGTTGGCTGTTTAGGCCTACATGAAACGAAAAGGCTGCGGTTAATACCCAAGCTCAATAAGAGTTGGTTTGCAACATTCATTAGATTCTTAATTACTTTAAGCCCAAATAACTGAATAAGAGCTGCTGTGTAGTGTAACAAGTTGGGTAATGACTAATGAGGTTCAAGTTGAGAAACAACACGAGAGCATGTACAAGTTTTTTCTTTTGCTACATACTCCCACCGGCAGTCACCTTGTGCTCCGACTAACATAGAATCTAGCCACATCGGCCCCTTGAGGGAAACTCCATTCACAAAACTCGGACCCCTTGAGGGAAACTCTCTCAGTACCTATTATCTCCATTCACAAAACTCGAACTTGAGACCTTGTTAAAGGGACATCAAGTTCCTTGCACTACCAGGATATAAAAGTTTTAACACAAGCCACATTTTCAACAGGGTCATACAATAAAATTCCAAAACATCAAGCAAACTGCAAATATGAAATACATATAACTAAGCTAAAAGGCAGGGAAACAACTCAAACTGAAAACAAGAGGCTGGCATAGACTACATAAACGAAGCGCATGGACTCTGATCAGGTCAAAGGACAAGTTAAACTGCCTCAACTTCCACTGAAGGGGCCGAGTTATTATTCAATTATTATTACACAACCTAAACGAAGATGCATGTTAACTGATTATTTGAAACAAAAGTTCGAGTCCTTGAAACAAACTGTCTGAGACTTCCTTCTACCCTTCGGCCTTCAGCATTCAGCAGAACATAACCCAATCCATTACCAGGGCAAAATATAGCTACCCCAGTTTACCTTCTCGGCTAAACCAGTAATGCCAGCCATACAACATAAAACTTAAGAAACTAACCTAGCATTATCCAATCCTTTAAAAGCACATTAGCAAACCTAAAGACATGAATCTCAACATCAGTAAGTTTCTGAGAATAAAAAATGAAATGAGGGAATCAAATTGAACAACTCAATCTCCCTCTAGGGGAGAAAACTAAGATCCAAATTTTTATAAAGCATAATATTTATAGTCATAAATCCATAGGATCATGCAAACAAAACAAGCCGATATTATATTAAACAAGGCCTCTAAAGTATAATGCTAGGTAGTTTCGACAAATAGTAATTGATCCATTACATAAATTGTGAAATGAAGATCTGGGTGTTACTAACAAAGCAACTGAATCAGACAGGGCTTAGGAGTTGATAGAGTTGGGGCTTTGGCTCAGAGTTCATGCCGATGATGATCACCAGAGGAATGAAGCCATAGTGAGTTACCACTTTGGCCTTCTTAACAGCCCATGTGCTCCACTCCTTCAAGCACTGCACAGTGGATTTCTCTTCCGAGCCTTTAGATCCCTTTCCTGATTTGCCTTTGGGCTTAAGTGCAACCTTGGATGCCATTATGAAATTTGTTGTTTACTTTTCCTCAACTCTTCTCTGTTACAATAAACCAATGACATTATGAAAAATAACAGGCACATCAGTTCACTGATTTAGAAATTTTGCTCTACAAAAAGCCTGCAAAGAGTCTAGAACTTTAGTCAGACTAGCAAACCAATTCAATACTTCTTGTAAGGTTGTTTTATATCAATTCTATTCATACAGGATTTAAACCAATTATTCAAAAATTCAGCACACATCTGCAAGATTGCAACAGCATTTAAACTAACAAATTCAATATATTACTCAAAATCTAAATAGAGAACACCAAAACCTAAGCTTTTTATTCCAATAAAGGACATGCCACCTGACTACACGCAACATACAGGATTTTTTAGTGTTTCTCCATAACTCTCTTAGAAACAAAGAAAGATATATATAAAGCAGTTTTTATTAGACATGAGGAGTTGAGACTGCTTAACCATATTTAGTTTCTCCAAGAGATCAAACTGAACATTGCCATTGTTACCAGGTTATAAGACCAAAACTTGAAACTATCCACTTATATATTTTACACGACCTTTTTTTCCCTTGTCAATAACTCAACAGAAGCAGGCAAGCTACTAGAATAGAGAACAATCTGATCACAGCAGCACAGTTTCATAACTTAAACAACCAAAAATCAATCAAATGTGGCAGAATCAAAGCCCCCAAGCATTACAAAGCTATATTAAGAAGAGAAATCCTATATATTCAGAAAAAAATATATATAAATCGTATGGGAAAATAATTAAAAAAAAGTTTAAACAGAACTTAGCTCCTTAACAACTAAAAATCGATCAAATAAGGCAAAATCAAATCCCCAAAGCATTACAGAGCTCCTTGTTAACAATGCAAGATATATTAAGAAGAGAAATCCCATATACCCAATCAACAAAAATCAAAAAATTCGTATGGGAAAAAAAGAAAATAATTAAAAAATTTGAAACAGAAACAGACCCAGTAAACAACTATAATAGAAAACTATGATAGAAAGAAGTTTTTTCAAGAGAACAAACCGAGCTTGTTTGTCAAACTATATTTTTTGTGCTAACAGCAAAGAATAAGAGATCAGCAAACCTAAATAATTTAAATCAGCAAGAAAAAAAAAAGAAAACTGTTCAGTGATAAATATTGAAGCAGATAAATTACCTGAAATTTGGTAAAAAGGAAAATGGATTGCGTAAAGGGAGTCGAGGTTTAGGAAGGCGCGATCGTGAGAGGAGAGGCGGCTGTGGGTGTTTGGAGGGACGGAGGGACAAGGAAATAAATAAGACAGAAATTTTAGCCGCACGAAACACCGGCTCGTTTAAAACGACGTTGTTTCCGGTTTATAGCTAATTTTAGGTCTAAACAAAGGGTTTAAAGACAAAATGACCCTCAAATTATTATCAAAGCGACAAAATGCCCCTTGAACTTTTAAGTGGGATAATTAAGTCCTTTGATTTTCAATTTTGGGATAATTTAGTTAGTTATTAGACGGACGGTAGTTATGTGACTTCACGTGTTGTGAACAAAAATCAATGAGTTAAGAGGTTATTTTGTCATTTTTTTATAAAAATTTGAGGATTATTTGGTTTTATTTTATCAAAATCCGAGAACTATTTTTTTTTTTATCAATTTATAGTGTCATTTACTTATGTTAACATAACATTCATCCAATGAGAAGTTAAATTGTCTCAAAATTGAGAAATATATATGGCTTAATTGTCCCAATTGAAAATGCATGGGTCATTTTATATCTTTGGTTGTAGTTTGAATGTAATTTTATCTACTAAACTTAAAAGAAATAGAAAGATCATGTGTATTTTCAAATTTTGAGATATTTTAATTTGGAAAAATAGACGTCTTAGACATGACACAACCGGTTTAGGGTTGTTCAGGTTATTTTGGATTCAAGTCATTTCAGATATAGATAATTTTGGGTTTTGACTTTATTAGATTCGAATATTTTTGAGTTCAACTTTGGGTTGCGTCTATTTTCAAATCATAAAATAATCTTATTTATCATTTTATAAGCCAAATTATTTCAAGTTCATGTTAGACTCAATTTTATGTTTAAATCAAATTCCACCCCGAGTGTCAAGTCATCTTACTCTCATGTCATTTTGGATTCAGGTCATTTTAAATTCAAACCACATTGACTTTCTTTTTCCTTATCAAATTAGGTTAAGTTGGATTTGAAAGGATTTTTTTTATTCGGTTCATTTTGTCACCTCACAATAATTTGCATTTTTGTTGAATTTGATTTGTTCCGATTTTCAAATGCAAAAAAAAAAAAAAAAAAACAAAATTTATTAGAAAGTTAATTTCAAATAAAGTCTATGGAGAATTTCAAAAAGGAGTTATGACTAGAAATATTAAATATCATAAGAAAATTAATAATTAAGAAGATTTAAATGTAAATTTTTTGTATGAAGGGAGGATTCTAACATGTGATGCACTTTCTTTTTTTGACATCTAACATGTGATTAGAGCTGTTTAAGGCAGGGCTATCCGCCCAAACCCGTAAGCCCGTACGATATTTTAAAAGGCTTGGACAAGAATTTTAAACCCTTTGGATGGACTTGGACAAAAATATCAAGCGCATTTATTAAATGGGCCGGCTTGGGTATAAGAGCAAAAGCCCAAGCCCGGCCAATTAAGAAGATATACTTGTTTTTATTTTTTATTTGTTGATATATAATATAATATATATTAAATATAATTTATACGTACACCGTATCTTAAATAAGAAAAAGATGAATAATATATGTAGAAAATCTTATTATCAATAAGAATAATATATTATAGGTGGTATATATCATATTTAATATTACAATTATATTTATATAATTAATTAATATAATTTAATTCTTAAAATAATTATTAAAAAAGATATTAGCTAGACGGACTTTTGGACGGGTCTTGATCTAAGTATTTGATAAATGGACCGGGCTTGGATAAAAGTTTGAGACCCGTTTTATAAATGGGTTGGGCTTAGACAACACTAATGACCTTAATTTCAAGGCTAGAATCGGCCCGAACCCGGCCTGCCCCGGCCCATGAACAGGTCTACATGTGATGTACTTCATGATAACCATATTTTGAGTTGAGAAAATAAGAAATTTTACATTGATGCCATCTTATTTCTCTAAAAAAAGAGATTGTTGATCATTTTTTTTGATCAAATGATAATTTCATTGATGAGTAAAATATAGGGATTACAAAACGCTAGGAGGAACACTCCCGCACCACACATCGTCAAGCCCTAAACTAGCTATCCTATGTGCCAAATCGTTGGCTTCCCTATTAACAAAATGGAAAGTACATTTGTCAAATAAAGTTGCCAAATCCCTTATCTCATCTATTAGAACACCCCCTTCCCAAAAAGATAAACCATGCTTTTTAATCTCAGTAATAGCAGAAAGCGAATCACTTTCAAACATACAATCATCCACACCATATTCCAGTGCCAATTCGAAGCCAAAAAGTATGGCATGGACCTCAGCATATAAAGGATCAGAAACAAAGTATAACTTTCTCGATCCTGAAACCACTACCTCGCCATTGCTATTACGGATCACAACCCCTAAACCTGCCTCTCCTCTAGCAGCACAACAAGAGGCATCCGAATTTATTTTCAGTATGCCAGGTGGTGGCGGATTCCACTCTACCTGCTTGTGTTTACTAAGATTGTCCACAATATTAACCCCTATTGCATTAGCAACTTGTGCTTCCATGGAAACTACTAACTTCACCAATGCAGCAGGTGTAGAACAAGTCGAATCATGCATGGACCTGTTCCGATTGTACCGTAATGCCCATAATACATATAAAGCCTTGTCCAAGTGACCAACAGTAGCCGCTTTATCAACAAAGTAATTCCAAAAATCAGTCTCGGAGTCCCATTGCTCTAAACAGATCGGAACCCAAAGGCAGACGCTCTCCCAAACTAGCTCACTAAACCGGCAACCGAAAAAAACATGGTAAATCGATGTTTCAACCTCCACACAAACCTCACAATTGTCACTAACATCTAGACCTCTATGCCTTAATATATTTTTGGCTGGCAAAATATTCCAAACCAGGCGCCAAGCAAAATATTTAATTTTAGGCGGAACAGAAGCACTCCATATGTACTTCCAAATGGGTAAACGACTTCCAATAGGCATCACATCACGGCCCAATAATCTTCTCGCCATATAATAAGCAGAGCGTACCGAGAAACAACCCAGCTTGTTATCATTCCAAATTAATCTATCAGGAACCGGCTGTCGAGGAATAGCAAGACTGAGAATACGCCAAGCATCCTCCTTCTCAAACGTATTCAACACCATATCAATATTCCATGACCGGTTTTCAAAATCAATGAGATCCGCCACTCTAATTGATGGTTTATGCGTATCAATCCGTGGCAAAGGACGACAAGAGTTTAAATTATCAACCCAGCAATCTTCCCATACATCAAGATTACCACTACCTACCCTCCACCGAGAACCCTCTTCAATTACTTTCCTAACCGCAAGTAAACTACGCCAAACAAACGACGGATTAGAGCCAAGCCGAGCTTCCATGAAATGCCCTGTTGAGAAATATTCCGCTTTATACAATCGAACACACAACGAGTCAGGATTCTAAATTAGACGCCAACACTGCTTAGAGAGCAAAGACAAGTTAAAAGCTTCAAAATCTCTGAAGCCCAATCCATCGTCTGCCTTCGAAACACACAATGATTCCCCACTCTTCCAATGTATACGTCGCCTATTCGCTGTGCTTCCCCACCAGTATTTTGCAATAATAGAATTCAACTCTTGAAGAAAAGATTTTGGAAAAGAAAAACACTCATTAGGTACACTGGAACCGCCTGAGCAACTGCTTGAATTATCACCCCTTTCCCTGGTATTGAAAATAACTTTGACTCCCAACTTTTAATCTTCTTTTGAAGCCGTTCTTTCAAGAATTGTAGTTCCCTAGTCTTCGATTTGCCTATCATGATCGGGAGGCCTAGGTACTTGTCCCTATCTAGAACATGGTTGATTCATAAAAACCTCATAATGCCGCCTTTAATAGTGGAAGCAGCATTGGCACTAAAAAGAACAGAAGATTTATCCACATTTATTCTTTGACCTGAAGCACTTTCAAAATCTTTCAGTAAAGACAAAACCGTCTGACATTCGGTCATATTGGCTCGCAAGAATAAAAAAATATCATCGGCAAAAAATAAATGTGACACACGTGGAGCCGTTCTTGACACTGCTATACCATGAAGCAAACCTGTCCCATTAGCTGACTCAATCATGCTAGAAAAAACCTCCATACATAGCACGAACAGATAAGGTGACAAAGGATCACCTTGCCATAATCCTCTAGATGGAATAAAACGTTGGCATTGCTCATCATTTACTATCACAGAATAAGAAACTGACCGAACACACTTCATAACCAAGGAAACCCATTTTATTGGAAAACCCATGACTCGCATTGTTTCCTCCAAAAAAGTCCATTCGACTCTATCGTAGGCTTTACTGAGATCCAACTTAAGAGCCATATGAGCCTGCCGTCCAGTTCTTTTATTCCTCATGAAATGAACAGTTTCAAAAGAAATCATTGCATTATCATAAATCATTCGATCTGGTACAAAAGCACTTTGTGTTTCTCCTATTATAGATGGTAGGATTTCTTTCAAACGATTAGCCAATACCTTGGATATAATTTTAAAAATCACATTACATAAACTAATGGGCCTAAAATCAGAAGCCAACCTAGGTTGTTTTAATTTCGGAATTAGTACTATGTTGGTGTGATTTATATCCGGGAGAGACTTACCATTATTAAGAAAATCAAGCACAAAACATGTAACATCAGCTCCCACTATAAGCCAACACCTTTGATAAAAACCCGGTGAAAAACCATCTGGACCCGGCGCCTTTGAACAGGACATCTGAAAAACCGCCTCTTTAACCTCCTTTGCCGTGAAAGAAGCATCCAATCTAGATATCATATCTATATTCAACCGACTATTCATTGAAGAAAACACCCTCTGAAATGATTCGCTGCTCGGATTTGCCGACTTGAAAATACCCTTAAAATAATCGGATATAATGCGTTGAATCCCCATGGGATTAGAACATTCATTTCCCGTCATCCTGGATATGGTTGATAAGTGTTCTTCGTTTACAATTACTAGCCACCGAGTGGAAAAACTTGGTGTTGCGATCACCTTCCTTTAGCCATAAGGCCTTGGAACGTTGCCGCCAAAGCAACTCCTCCCTCCTATATAACTTATCCAACTCCAATTTACATTTTTCAAATTGCACCATACTACCCGCACCATAATCAGCATAAAGCAATTCATACTCCTTCTTTTTATAGGCTATATTACATTGCAAATTGCCAAATTCTGTTTTATTCCACTGCTCCAAAGCTAAACTACAGTCTGCTAACTTTGATGCAATTTCCTGGCTAGATGAGCACCAAGAATCTTTAACTATTTTTTCAAAATTCTCATGAGAACACCACATATCTTCAAATTTAAAGCTCCTTTTACGTTTTGAAAAAACTTGTGTCCTACTAGATATAGAAATTAAGAGTGGGAGATGATCTGACGCGGAGGATATCAAATGCTTTTCAAAAGAAGAACCAAACTTTCTCCACCATGACTCAGTAGCAAAACTCCTATCCAGCCTTTCAAAAACTAATTCCCCTTTAATCCTACGATGCCAAGTCATCAAAGGACCTACTACAGGCAATTCATGGAAACCACAGTAATCAATTACAGACTTAAACAAATCCATTTGACGACTAGATCTCAAAGCTCCACCCTCCTTCTCTGCACTGGAAATTAATTCGTTGAAATCCCCAGCACATAGCCAAGGAATAGAGTACCTATCACATAAGGAACGAAGAAGAGCCCAGGATTCATGACGTTTATAGGTCTCTGGTCTACCATAAAATCCAGTAAAACGCCATTTATCAATATCACTACTACCAATACAAACATCAATATGGAAAAAAGAATAAGACAAAAGCGAAACATTATTATCAGCCATCCACAAAAAAGCCAATCCACCAGACCGGCCATTACAATCCACAGCAAAACAATAATCAAATCCTAAACGAGATCTAATCCAATCCATCTCACTAACAGTTCTCTTAGTTTCACAAAGAAATAAAAAACAAGGCTTATTACAATTAACTAACTCTACTAAACGATGGACTGCCCGAGCTGCCCCTAGACCCCGGCAATTCCACACTAAACAATTCATGGTTATCGGCAAAAATGGTTGTTATTGACCATCTTCGCCGTTAAAACATTAGATGAATTACTACTAACCACATTTTCCTGCTTCGTTGCAACATCCTTTCCACTGTTGCCAGCTAAATAAGGCGCCAACCCCTCTACGTCTTGACCTGCTGACTGCGTCGAACCAACCTCCATAGCATGCTCACGGGACCGCTTCACCAAACCACCGGTATTTGGCATTAGAATACTACTGCCAGACAGCCTCTTTCGCCCCTCCTTAACGTTACTCTGACCAGCCACCAGATTAAGAGAAGTGGACTGTGAAGCACGTGCAGCCTTTTTCCACTTCCTTACACGGCGAGAAGGAGAAGAAGTAGAAGTAGTTGCCCCAAAAACAAAGGAGGGAGAGGCAGCAGCTAAGTCAGCTAATAATTGTCTAACCTGGTCATTCTGCAGCAATGCTAAATTCTGCGTTGATAAAACCCCTTCCTTAGGCACCGAGTTATCCAAACCAGCAGCTATATCTCCCAAGCCCAGCCTGAATTGCTCAATTCCAGGAATCTCATTACCCAAAACAGAACCCATATTATTCATCTTATTCAGCCCACTACCATTGTGAGGCTGCCTTGATCCTCCTAGGCCCAAAGTCGAAGGCCCAATACCCGTCGCCAAGTCCAAGCCCAAATCCCCATATAGCTCATCAGCCTCATCTGTGTAACTCTGAGTTGGTTCCACTCTCTGCGCAACTGTTTCCACTCTTTTCGCAACGGCACCAACTAACTCATCTTGGTCCGCAATCCTTGGACCCTCATTCCTCGGCTGCCGAGATAGAATCTCACACGACTCATCATCTGAAAACAGGGCACGCGCCACCTGTTTACCCCGCAACACCATACTATCAACATGAGGCCGGTTACTCCTACGATTGTCACCCACAGAGGGAGAAGGTTGCAAATCTCGCCCTCCTCGGACTGAATGAAATGAAGAGCCTGACGCGACTGATAAAAGACTCAACCGCCGAGATGCTGAATCGCTCAAGCGAAAACTACCATCCCCTCCATTTAACCTGCTAGGTTTGAAACGAGGGGATTCTGCTCTAATCCAAGGTGTAAACCTCCTGATAACTCGCCCCAATTTCAACCTCATTTCAGTAGCCACTGGACAATCATTCTCACTAATATGATCAAACATCCCGCAAACCAAGCAAATATCCGGCATTGATTCATACCGAAACTCGACTTCTATTTCACCAAAGGGAGAAGAAACGATGGATTTGTCCTGAATGGGTTTCATAACATCCATTCTGACCCCGAACCCGAACAAAACCTCCCCACTGTTCATCGACCTCCAAAACAGGCCCGATTAGCTCTCCAACTGCTGCGCCTACCTTCGCCGTCATCATGATTGGAAGAAGATCAAAAATACGAACCCAAAAAGGACAGAACGTAAAATCCACTTCCTCAGGCTTCTCGACCCCATCGTATTTCTTCAAAACCAACAAAATCCTATTAAAATGCCACGGCTGAGTGACCAAAACTCGATCCCTCTCTGCCTCATCCTTAAACTGGAACATATAGATCTTTTCCCCTACCTCCTTTACTATCAGCCCCATTTGCAATTTCCAAGCGTTGAACAAAGTTGTTCTCATTCCCTCCAAATTGGCCTTCTTTTCAGTGAAAAACTTTCCAATTAAAGAGAAAAACTGAGCACCACCGTCGCCTTCTTCCAACAGATCCTGGCTAATAACTACTTTTGGTTTCTCTCCCTCTTGGAGTGAGAGCTGAGAACATAAATTAGAGAGTTCAGCAGCCGCCATTGTTTAAAAGAGTAAAAACACTTTAGACGATGAAAAGAGACCACACCAGACAAAATGAAACCAGCAACTCACCAAAAAATACCCAAAGTTCCAAATCCATATCTTAATAAAAAGATCTATTGAATGCGAAGAGGGATATATAAACAACCAATGTTCAAAAGCGAAATTCAAAAAAATTGGGAAAAATATAAGATTCAGATCTGATATGAAACGGTTTTCAATTTTGGAAAATATAGTCAAAAAGAAAGGATAAGATTTGGAACAAAAAACCCATCTGCTATCTGATATACTCAAGATTTGATTCTCAATATCAGACCAGAGAGAAACCCCCACCAAGAAACCAAGGGGAGGAGGGAACTCAAAGAGACAACCCATCGCCGCCGCCTAGGGCACGAGAGAAAATCTAAAAATGAAAGTTAGAGAAATTACTAAAAAAAATTAATTGTTGAAAATTAATTGGTTTAAAACCCATATAAAATGTTTTTATATGGTATTCTATTCTTCAATTTATCATCTTTTTTGGAAGTTAAATACCTTGATTGAGAACCCATACATGCCAACAATCACAATTGCAACAACCCAAAAAAAAGTCCTCTCTGAAGTCAAAACAGTTTCTTTAAAAATATTTCACCCTTTCTCTTGACTCAAATTTATCTTCAATGTCCCCAAATTGTGTAGTAACCAATCCATACAAAGTCCAAGCAGTAGGGCAAATCCAGTAATACCATATCCACCATATAGGAATCCTCCGCCATTTCAAAACCAACAAAATTTTTATTCCATTAGCAACCCTATCGTCTCATTGAAGCACCCAACCATTTGGTTCAACGTAACTTACATTTCGAGGAATAAGGAATCCTGAGAAAACGTTTCATATCCGAAAGAAGAATGTCAAAACTGTCACGCCCCGGACCTAAGGCTCGGAATATAACAACGCCACATACTCATGAGGCGAACCTCAAGAGCTATCATGTAAGGCTAGCTATCAGTCCAACATAAAATAATAGGTCAAAAAATAAACTAAGTCTCAATATCCAAACATTAACAAAATCTTCAAGTCTCAACTAAACAACATCATTGAAATTCAACTAAGTTCCAAAAGTCCAAGTCTATTGCGGAAGCTAAAATGTCTAACGATCACTCTCCCCGATGCAATCCCCAATGCTCAATTGTCATCACCTGAAATATATATACCACATAGTGAGCTAAAGAGCCTAATAAGTAACAAGATCTAACTAGGTGGATCAAGTACAATAAAACCATACATACTATATAACAATTCATAGTTTTCATATAAACATATTCGATAAACCAAAATCAATTTTCATTTCAAAATAATACACTTTATTCCTCATTCCCAATAAACATTTAGTTCTTTTCAAGCTGCACCACAATCACAATCACAATCATCCGTTAACGGTATAGATTCTCGAGTCTAGCCAACAGTTAACCCCCTGAGGCACGGGTCTACTCTTACCAATAGTTTAACCCCATGAGGCACGGGTCCACTCTTACAATCAGTTTAACTCCCTGGGGTATGGGTCCACTATGCACAGTCTTCCAAGAACATTAAAACACATTTTCACATTTCCAAATCATTTTCAAAACCATTTCAATTCCAAAACATTTACGTTGCATACTTGATCCGATTTTAAGAAAACAATGATACTCGTTTAAAACAACAAAACACTTCCAATCATTTATAAGAAAACAATCCATAAAACAATTCATAATTCATATAATTATAATACATATAATCTTTGAAAACACTAGAAAAGGTCCGGTCACTAACCTGACCAGCACACATAATCACAACACAATTCTTGCAACGAACAATGCACAATCAAGAGCCTAACAATATTAATTACGCATTAGAAACCAACACAATACAATTTTCATAAGATGCATGACCATTCTACCCTCCCAAAATCCTAGAAATATTTGGGGAATTGTCAAAATCCTTTTGAAAACCTTTGCAAAAAATCCAATTTCCATAAATAATGATAACATAAGGAATATACCCTTTAATATTTTCAGAGAGTGAAACACCAATTTTAATGGATCATAAATAAGATAATATTGTAGTAGAATTTCTTTAAAAATTTTGGAATTTAATTCTTCAGAAATACTCCTCATACATTTTCATAAGAAAATAAATCATAGAAAATATTTTGTAATTTGGAAAATTATAGGAAAATACAGAAAAATCATAAGTATTTCAATAAATAATTTCCCAAAAATCACTATCATATCACCTAGGGGTGGACTATACTCTCTCTCGCAAAATATACTCGAGAGTGGGCTTTGCAGAAACACTGTTCATCTTCTCCTACAAACAAATTCAGAAATTCTAGATTTGTCCCATCTTCCAAGCAATTTTGGGACTTCGATTCTCTCTCTACATAACACCTATAGAGGTATGGTTGGCACCTATGGATAGATCAGACTTCCTACTACACGCTCATCATAAGTTTGACCTTTAAAGGCCTCCGGTTTACTGGATTCCGGCAAGAAAAGGGGGGTTGTTGATCACAGTTTACATCTAGGGTTTATCAACTTAAAAATATCATAACTTTCAATCTACACAACGAAATCGAGTGATTCCAAATCCTATGGACTCCTCATGGCTTGAGGAATCTTTTGGTGCCAACTTGGTGGTCGGTGGCTCGTCGGTCGGCTGCCAGTGACCGGAAATCTACATATAGTCTATTTTAAACAATTTCCAAACATGCAACAATGGTGGAAAGTCAAAGAACTAACCTTAGAGCACCCAATAGAGATGAAAACAATGGAAAATAGCCTTCAAAAGATCTTGTTAGGGGCCAAAATGGGGATAACTCCAAGCCCAAAGTACACCCACAAATCTCCTCCCAAATACTCACAAGATTGAGATCAATTTTCTCTCTTAATAGTCCAAAACACATTAAACACATGAGCTACTTCTCTCCCAAATATCAAAGGCCCATTCCTCTTGCCCAATAACCAAAAGCCCAAAGCACATGTAACACATGGGCCACTTTGCTTAAGGTGATAAAACCCAAAACACATATAACACATGGGTCACCATGTTCTACGGCAGGGGAAACCAGCAGGATGCACACTACGCCGACACCTGCCACACTACTCACAAAAGGTGGGTCCCAAGGACATGCGCCTTACAGTTAAGGCCTTCCTACCCACCAACTCAAGACACAATAAGCTCAAAACACAAATAAGGCATTGAGATACAGTTCCCTGCCACTACGCCAACTTATTCACAGTAGGACACATTATGGCAAGAGGAAGTCACTAGGGAAGTATTTTACTTAGTTGCATTTCCCTTTATTCCATTGCCTTGTTGTAAGAATCAATATTAACAAGTCTCTATGGCAGAACACAACACATAAACGTGGACCAAGCCCACGGCGGGATAACAATTGGAAGCGTGGCTTGGCGGCATATGGGAGAGGAATCTGCTCAAATGCCATTTTCGACAGGAACAACCATGCTTGGAAGCTATTCCTAACACCCAAAAATGACAATTGGGCAACATAAAGGAGAATCGAAACATAGCAAATTGACTTTGAAATGGAATTCTAATGTTTCCAGCCAAGAGAAAGTGACTCTTGATCACTTAAAGAGAGACAAATTCAAAAGATTGGAAAAAGCCATTGTTCACATTCTCAAAAAGGAAAATGTTCTCTACCATGGCCAAAGATGCTAATTCCGCTGGGTTGATTTCGGCAGCAGGAGTCAGGCTGCAACAGGAATCACGCTGCAGTAGGAATCACGAAAGGACCGGCGGGCAAAGACATAAACCAGCCAAAGAGATGGCTATAAATTGGCGTTCTCCAGTTGATGAAGAAGGACATAATGCAACAATTCGACACAACGAACAAGACAACAACAACAACAACAAAGAAATAACACAACACAGAAGAACCCACACACTCCTCTCTCTGTTGGAAATCCATCATGGCTTTCTCTTCCACTTTTCCTTTCTCCAAAAACCACAAAGAAGAAGAAGAACCATTTTCTTCATCTTTTACAACAACACAAAAACAAGAAAGAGAAGCTCTACAACGACAAATCAAGCACAAGATCTACAGTCAATCACAATAGATCTAAGCAACCCAAAGCTAGATCTCCCCAAATCGTTACCATTTCGGGTTCTCCATTTCATCTTCAAAAAGCTCTGTATAGTTTTGATTTCTCCTTTCTCACACTAGATTTCTCTCCTTTTCTTCCAAACTCACCTCCCATGTTGTTACCCACAAAGTTGAGAAAGTAATAAAAGTATTTGGTTCTTTTTATAGTGGGTATTTTGTTTACAAATCTATTTTTCCATATTTTTCAACCTTTTCAATTCCTCTTGTCTATATTGAAAAGATATTTATATTCCCAGAAATTACCGCAGGAAACGTGATATTTCCCCATCTATTTTATCATTGGGCAATCCGCCGTAGGAAGTCTCAGTCAGCTACAGCAGGATTTCTAGGAAATTCATTATAGAGTTATTTTCCCATCTTTTCATCCTCCTCAGTTCCTCCACGAGTAGAGTTACTTTTCCTGCCGGAAGTATCACTTCTTTTACGGCATGATTTTTTCGCCACAGATCTCAGTCTATTTTACGGCAGGATTCTGTCATCTTTTTGGCACCATCTTTGTAAGCCCACTTCTTCTTCTGGGGAAGTTGGGGCAGGCTAGGATCCACTACCGAGCTGGGCCATGCCTATCAATCCCACCAAAAGGCTCTCATAGATCTCAACACGTTTTCCCCCTTGAAACCAATATTCTAACCCTAACTAATGAGATGAATATTAATTTATAACTAGGTTAAAAGACTAACTAATACTTAATTGGGCGAGATAAACTAATAAGGCCCAAAGTCACAAAAACAATCATAATAACTATTAATTGGGTCGGGGTCTCACAGAAACAATGGCAACAATGTTGAAGTTTGGAGTAACAGCTACAGTCATAAATAAGTGTGGTATAATAAGGTGAAGTACATGAAGAAT